TGTGAAATATTAACTATCTTCATTTTTGCTGAGAAAACCAAGGCACAGATAAGCAGTTTGCCCAAGTTGAAGTGTGGGGCAAAAATTCAAACGCAGGTGTTCTGACTCCAGGATCCATGCTCTTAATGACTATGTTATACTGCCTTAGTGTGGTATCCCTGTAATTAACAAATTTATATAAGATGCTTGATACCCTATTTTGACTTCTCAAATGTAGATGCAATATGTCTTAATTCTTCTTATTTCTGATGAAAAGAATCTAACATCATTACATCTTTCTTCCTTTGCTCCTTCCCTCTCTCCTAACCTCCATTCCAGTGTACATTGTTTTCACACTTGTCGTATAACTACAATTAATTTTTGATACATTGTCTATAAAGTGATTTTTTAAACTGAAAAGTAGCATTCACAATATTTGTAGGGAGATAATTGTTCACTGCAGAACCAAGTACAGCAGTGCCCTTGAGCCTATAGAGGAGATGTAACTCTTGTCAATAAACCTTTGCTATTAGAAGAAGAAAATTACTTCACAGTTTGGAAAGTGTTCGGATGATACCTTATCACAGTGACCTACCATGCCTTTGCCTTGTCACAAGACCACTCAGCTTCTCAGTCATTCAATTTATAGAAGAAATCCACGTCCTCCTGAAAGAGATTCTTCACAGAGCATCTGACTTCTGGTTCTAATTTAGACTGATGGCTTTCTAGGCCTACCTCAAGGTTGTTGTGGGGAAAAGAAAGAGAGATCAGACTGTTACTGTGTCTATATAGAAAGAAGTAGACATAAGAGACTCCATTTTGTTCTGTGTTTGAGATGCTGTTAATCTGTGACCCTACCACCAACCTTGTCCTTGCAAGAGACATGTGCTGTGGTGACTCAAGGTTTAATGGATTTTGGGCTGTGCAGGGTGTGCTTTGTTAAACAAGTGCCTGAAGGCAGCTTGCTGGTTAAAAGTCATCAACATTCTCTTAATCTCAAGTACCCAGGGACACGCACACTGCCAAAGGTCGCAGGGACCTCTGCCTAGGAAAGCTAGGTATTGTCCAAGGCTTCTCCCCATGTGATGGTCTGAAATATGGCCTCGTGGGAAGGGAAAGACCTGATCGTCCCCCAGCCTGACACCCGGGAAGGGTCTGTGCTGAGGAGGACTAGTGTAAAAGGGAAGAAGGCCTCTTGGTGGTTGTTGGTGGTTGAGACAGAGAAAAGCATCTGTCTCCTGCCCGTCCCTGGGCAATGGAACATCTCGGTGTAAAACCCGATTGTATGTTCTGTTTACTGAGAAAGGAGAAAACCGCCGTAGAGCGAAAGGCGGGACTTGCTAGTGCAATGCTGCTCTTTATGCACTAAAAAGGTTTATGAAGATGTTTGCATATGCATATCAAGGCACAGCACTTTTCCTTAAACTTATTCGTGTCACAGAGATCTTTATTCATATGTCTTAATGCTGACCTTCTCCCTACGATGATCCTATTATGCTGTCACATCCCTTTTTCTAAGATGGTAAAGATAATTATCAATAAATACTAAGGGAACTCAGAGACTGGCGCCGGCGTGGGTCCTCTGTATGCTGAGCGCCGGTCCCCTGGGCCCACTTTTTCTTTCTCTATACTTTGTCTCTGTGTCTCATGTCTTTTCTCAATTCTCTCGTTCCACCTAACGAGAAACGCCCACAGGTGTGGAGGGGCAGGCCACCCCTTCAGTTGTCATCCTGGAATTATATTTCATTATAATCTTGGGTAAGATCCACTGCTCCTTAGAGGCCATGGCTTCCTCCTACTTGGGTTCTTTTTTGTTTTGCTTCAGTAATTCTTTCAGAAATAGTCTGTGGGTGGTAAATGGTCTGAGTTCTTGCATGTTTCAAAATGCCTCACTCTTGATTGATAGTTTAGCTAAGTAGAGAATTTTAGGTTCAAAAAACATTTATTTTGCACATTTTGAAGGCATGCTTCTTGTTTTGTTTTTCTTAGCATTTACAGTTGCTGATGATCTGTCTCATTCCAATTGGATTCTCATTGAGTAATCTATTCTTTTGGCTTTTAGACTCTTCCCTTTATTCTCAATATCTAAAATTTCACAAGAATGTGCCTTGGGCTAAGTTTGTTCATTCATCTTATTTTGCATTCTCTAGGGCTCCTGCAATCTCAATCCTATTTCTTCACTTATGGAAAATTCTCTCCTATTCTTTGTTTTGTCGCTTTCCGAACATCCCTTTGGATGTTAAAATTTTGGACCACTTTTCTCAAATCTCTTCACTTTTCTCCCACATTTTCCACCCTTTATCTTTTTGCACTACGTTTAGAGCAATTTCTTCAACGTTTTGTCTCAGGTCTTCCCTTGAACTGTTAACTTTAGCAATTACTTTTTCATTTTAACAATTTTTTTTTTTTGTTTTAGTTGTTCTTTCTCAGCAATCTAATTTGGCACTAAAAAATGCTTTCTCTTGACTTTTGTTTCCATGAGGATACTAAATAGAATAACTTTAAAGATATTTTCTATGTCCTGAATTATCTATTTCCTCCGGAGTCAGTGTATTTTTTTCTCTCAACCTGCTCTTTTGTCCTCATTTTTCTTCAGATTTTCATAATCCTTGGCTATAGATTCATACCTACAACTGAGGTAGGTCAGCTCATTGAATGCAGATAGCTCTGCCTTGTGCAGCTCTCTCTTGTCTACACAAGTGGCTGTCACTGGCAGCCTTTGCTTTAGACCTTGTAGTGAAAGAAGAGGAAGTTGGATGTCCCCCTCCCTGCTTCTCTCACTTCCCAGCAAAAATGGGAAGAAGTTTACTCAGATGGGGCATCACCCCAACTAGGGCTCCTTCTCACCAAGACTATTCAATTATTTTAAATATTAGTCCTCTGGTTTTAGCCTGAGCATGTGATGCAGGGAAGGAGAACGTGGACTATGACTCACACAGTTATTCCACAGTTGATTGCTTTCCAACTCTCCTTTCATACTCCAAGTGTTGAGCTTCTCTCTGGGTGTGCTGCCAGGAAAAATAGCCCTAGCCTCTACTGCAGCCTTCTCCTGTGAATGTGATTTAACCTGTTAATACAATTCCAAGTATTTCCACTTTCAAGAAACTTGTCTATATCCCTAGTTCCTGATGCTCTTTCTTCTGTACCCAGTAGTCTTTAATTTGTTACTCTTACTTCTTCTTTGCTGACATTTCTATGAGATTTGAAGTAGAAAGGAGATACGTGCTGTCTGCCATCTTGAATGAGAACTTTCTTTGCCTCTTTGGACATCTTTGTGCTTTTCTCATTTTGAGGCAAAAGACTCCATATAGCTTCTGCTTAAGGCCATTGGACAATACAAACAATTCCTTAATTTCTCTTCTACTTGTCAGCTCTACAAATATTTGAAACTAGTTTTATATCCTCCTATGCTGTCCAGGATAAATATTTCCAATTCCACTAACCATACCTCACTGAAGTTTTAGTACTATCATTCCAATCATTTTCTTCTGAACTTTCCCCACCTTCTTAAATAATTCAGTGCAATACCTAGGGTATTAATGTTGGAAACTACTTCAGAGTAACCTAGTCTTCCCTACTACATCACATGTCCACAACAGCCAGTTACTTCCTTCCCTTCCCTAGGCAAATAAAATTAATGTTACATCTCTACCAGCTGCTGTGAAAACTCTATGCAATGGTGACATACTTAAAAGCCATGAAATTATGAGAAAATAGAATTTCTCTCTGACAATTTCCAGGCCCCCTAGCACAACTTCTAACTTGTACATAATTACTTTATCACAGAAATAAACGTTATTCAAAAATTCTTAGTTTTAGTCATTTTGGAAAGAATAATACTATCTGTTAAGAAAGAAATTTGGGATAATTGTTCCTAAGCTGATTAAAGTATGCAGTTGGAGCCACTATATACATAGATACATATATTTTTTCTTCAGTTATTTGAAATGGAACTCCAAAACTCCAACACATTTCCCATTTCTCATGAGCAAAAATGAACACTTTTCTAAGAGCCTCACATTATTGTAAAATTGCCACTAATTAAAATATGTATAATATTTAAAAATCAATAAAAAGAGGATAAAGGCAAGTATTATATCCACCTAAAACAGTATCACTATAGTGACATCCCTTTATAACAAAGTTTAAGAAAATTAAATAAAATATTGCCTTACAAAGTTACATGGTACAGTTCTCAACGAACACAAAGATTTTTCTAATATGTGTAGTTTCCTTGGAATTTTCTTTGCCCCTGTTCCTTGGAGAGCCTATTTGTAAACCCCAAAAGAAAAAGGGTTTTCAATATGTGTAGGGAAAGATTTATTTCAGATGTATGTTTAAAACAAGATATTTAACAGGAATTTAAAAGATGTTTTCAAAATCTACTTATTTGTTTATCTGTTGAAAAGAATTAAGAAACTATTACGTGCTAAGCACTAGTGATTTATTAATACAATGAAAAAACTTTCAGTCTCTAGTTTCAGATCCTGCACAGGTGAAAGATACATTGATTCAAATTTGTTAAAGCACTTCTTTTTCTACACTTTGCTTAAGGGAGATTTAAATGCACACCAATTGTGTGCCAGTCTCGAGAAAGCCAAAGCCTAACAGCGGCCGGACGCCTGTAATCCCAGCACTTTGGGAGGCCGAGACGGGCGGATCACGAGGTCAGGAGATCGCGACCATCCTGGCTAACACGGTGAAATTCCGTCTCTACTAAAACAATACAAAAAATTAGCCGGGCATGGTGGCAGCACCTGTAGTCCCAGCTATTCGGGAGGCTGAGGCAGGAGAATGGCGTGAACCCGGGACGGGGAAGTTGCAGTGAGCCGAGATCGCGCCACTGAGCTCCAGCCTGGGCGACAGAGACTCCCGTCTCCAAAAAAAAAAAAAAAAAAGCCTAGCATCTTCTCCATTCTCTGGGTCCAATGGACTGTGTCAATAACACTTGTGCAGTGTTGGCTATGAGGATTCAGCAGTGAAAATTTAGTTGGAAGTTAAGAACACACCTCAAGAAAAAATTATTTCATTACCACATTTTTATTTTCTCTGATTAATGAGAATTTGGAGATCAGGCATTTCCGTTTCTACAGTTGTATGGCGAGCAGGTCCAATATTGGTGGTCCTTTGGCATCTCCTACTTGTAATACTGGGTCTCCTGCCAGCCTGGTAAAATGCATGCTTTTTGCCCTGGACAGTCATTGTTCACACTTGCTTGTTCACAGTGCACACCTGCTTGTTCACACTTCCTTTCCTTTGCCTGAAATGCACTTGCTATTCTCATTTACCTGGAGTCTTCTTACTTCTTTTTCAAGGCTCAGCTCAAACACTGCTTCCTCGGGGAAGCCTTCACGGACTCCTGGGGTGGTGAGTCAGCTCAGTGGCGTTGTTGCAACAACTGTGAGAAAAGACAGAGCAGGAAATGGATCTCGGCTCTAGCTCTTACCAGATGTGTAGTTATGTAAACTTTTTGAATCTCAGTTTTTCCCATCTATAAAATACAGATGCTTACCTTGCAGGGCTGTTTTGAAGATGAAATGCAATGGTGAAGATAATGTCCCTACACGGAGAGCTTGGCATGAGGGCACACAGTGTTTTCTATCCTCCTCCTTTTTAGCCACACCTTTGAAAGGCAGGAACTTAAAATCTCGTGCTTAGATCCACCATGTTCTCTATTATGGAAATCATTTGGAAAACAATAATATGAAGTTCAAATTAAAGCCAGCATCATTAATCAAAGCTTATTAAAGATTTTCCAATTATGTACAAAGATCTTTCATGTAATGTATGACTATGAAATAATTAGAATGATCTTTTACTTGAAGTGTATGCAAGCAATACTTTCAAAGATGCTGATCAAAAGCCTCAGCACTCTGTGTGAGAACCTATAAATTTTACATAGAGGTCAATGCTATATTCTTAGCAATGACATCTGCTCTTTTACCTACTTTACAAACTCAGAGGTAGGCAGGAAGTACACAGTACACTGATAGCAAAGATTCCAAGGGACAATAACAATATGAAAGCAATAACTTTTTTTTTTTTTTTTTGAGATGGAGTCCCGCTCTATCCCCCAGGCTGGAGTGCAGTGGTACAATCTCCGTTCACTGCAACCTCCGCCTCCCAGGTTCAAGTGATTCTCCTGCCTCAGCCTCCCAAGTAGCTAGGATTACAAGCATGTGACACCATGTTTGGCTAATTTTTGTATTTTTAAGAGAGACAAGGTTTCACCATGCTGGCCAGACTGGTCTCAAACTTCTGACCCCGTGATCCACCCGCCTCAGCCTCCCAAAGTGTTGGGATTACAGGTGTGAGCCACCAAGCCCAGCCAGCAATAACTTTTGTATTTTATAAGAATTTGCATTACTTCAAAGTCTTTCACTCATGTCTTAAACATTCTACAAACATTCATTACCCCTCACAACATCCCTGTGGCAGGTCAGTAGTGCTCAGTTGTCCCAATTTCCAGAATTGTATGCAAAAGTCCTTCAACATCAGTATAACAGAGTAACAGAGTGATGCTGGGTATGGTTTTTTGTTTGTTTGTTTACACAGGAGGTCAGGAAGATGAGATACTCTTCAACAGGTGAGAAGCTGTTATGCCTTTCCAAGTAGTATTTGTTTCCCACAGGCTATATGTTTTTCGTCAAATTTTTACTCTGTTTCAAGAAATTTGGGAAACATGAGTGCCTCACTCACTCACTCACTCGTTGTGATTAAAAGCAGACTTTCAAGTGTGAATCCTTGGTTCAATTCCAACTCTACCACCTTTTAGCTATGAGGCCTTGGATGAGTTACTTCCTCTATGTTATGGACTGAATGTATGTATCCCTCCAAAATTCATATGTTAAAGTCCCGTCCCCACTGAGATAGTATTAGGAGGTGGGACTTTTGGGAGGTAATTATGTTTAGATGAGGTCATGAGGGTGGGAATCCAATGATGGGATTAATGTCCTTATAAGAAGAGCAAGAAACCAGACTCCCTCTATCTCCATCGTGCGAAAACACAGCAAGAAGGCAGCTGTCTGAAAGCCAGGAGTACGGCCCTCACCAGAACCGAATTTGTCAGCACCTTGATCTTGGAGTTCCCTGCTTTCAGACCTGTGAGAAATAAATGTTTGTTGTTTAAGCCACCCAGTGTATGATATTTTGCTATAGCAGTCCTACCTAAGACACTCTGTCTATGGTTTAGCTTCCCCATCTGTAAAATGGGGATAACAATAGCACCTACGTCAGAGGGCTATAGGGAGCAGTGCCTGGCACATAATTAGTGATCCTAATTATTAGGAACTATTCTTGTTAGCTCTTCTTCCTATTCTAGGCACTGAGATGCAATGGTGAACAATGGTACTCGAAAGATATTTAGCAGATGAATAATGCAAAACCATAATAGAGTGGAGACATAAATATAGATTTTGGAACGCAGGTGGTTTTGATGAATGACTGATGTCAGAGAAGAAAAATTTAAACATTCATATGAGTAAGCCTCAACAACAGGCTCATTTGCCCAACAGCAGAAATTTAAAAAAATGAAATTATTTGCCTAATAACACAAAAGACCAAACCAATGAAAGTAAGCCAAGTAGCTTTGTGCCCAAATGTTACTTTTTCAACTTGGCTGTAGTATGCAACCCTTTTTGTAAGCCTATAAACTTTATTTAACTGTTAGCCAAATACACTGACTCTCCAATGAGGTCATATTTGGAAATATACATATCAACATTTAAACAACTCAAAACCATAAGAAAATCTTAAATACTTCAGCCAAATTCTGTCTCAGAATTGAAAAGTGTGATGTAAAAATCAGGGGAAGACATATTATGAATTGGATCATTGTGTTATGCTACCTTTTATATATAATGAGTACAGAGCACAGGCATTTAGGATACCATCACTAAAACTGTTTGCAGCACAAACCAGTTGTAACCACTGCTAAAAGTTCTAACACTACTAAAAAAATAAGAGAGTATAACTACAATGTTTACATCTGCCTATAAGAACATGATCATCTTAAGTCTCAATTTTAAATACTGGTATTTTCTTTTAAAGTTCTTCAAAGCATGTGTACTATGAAAAGGGGAATTTAAAAAGAATTACTATCTAAAGCTGCAGAGGAGTTGGAGCAAATCAAGGAAGGTGTTTAAAGAGTAAATGTAAGTAACTGATACAAAGTTAAGATAGCACAGAGGGCTAAGGAACAGAGAGAGGCTGGAGGGAGAAAATCACTTCCAACTGAGAAAAGGAGAATGTGTGCATTTGACTATGCACTCTCTTCCTTTTTATTTTTCCAGAGATGATAAAATAATAGGAACTGTAAGTACTTCGAAAGTTAATTGGTATTAAGACAGGCCTTTTCAGAGATCAGCACAGGTAATACTGTATTTACTGTGAAGGAAATTAAGGGTTGGTTTCTTTAACAACTAATAAAAACGGAGTATTGACAAGAGAGAACAGAAAATCCAGAGAACACTGAAGTCTTTTTTCAAAGTATGGTAATGGAAAGCTGCCTCCAATGGCTGTGAGTCCTGAAACCACAAATGGTTTCTCAAAATCTCTGAACAAGCCACACACACAATATAATACAATACAATACAACACACACACACACACACACACATAGCCTCTTTCTCTTTCTCTCTCAAAAGTAATGATTATAAAGGTGACAATTAGCTATTACTCAAAAGTACCTTTGCAGGCAGGTATTATGTTACCCTCAATTTTGCTTTATTTAAATAGTGAATTAAATTTAAATACAGAGTTCTTTAATATTTTTGCTTCTGGTGGGTTTTGGTTTTGGCAAAGAAAAATAAGGTGAAAGGGCAAATTTGTGCTCTTTTTTATTCCATTTACTCGGTGTTCTCATAGTGGCAACTTATAGGGGTTATAAATAGAATAAAATTTGTCATTTTACTGTTCCCTATATCAGTGTTTCTTTCCGGAGGAAATGAATCCCAAATATGTGTGTATATCCAAAATATTCATTAAAGTGTTATTAAACAGATAATATGCCCTGACATGTTTATACTGATTTTCTCTTGATATTGTAATAAATTACCAAAAATGTAGTTGTTTAAAATAATGTGAATGGATTATCTTACAGTGTTTTAAAGATTCAATACAGCTCTCACTAGGTTACAACCAAGGTGTCAATAGGACCTCATTACTTTTGCCTCCTTCCACTTTTAAGGATTATATTGGACCCACCTGGATAATCCAAGCGTCTCTCCACATCTCAGTGTCAGCTGATGAGCAACCTTAATTCCATCGGCAACTTTAATTCCTCTCTGTTATGCGTATTCAGTACTCTGGCTGCCATAACAAAATACCACAGGCTGGTGGCTTAAACAACAGACACTGATTTTCTCACAATTTCAGAGGCTGCAAGTCCAAGATCAAAGTGCCAGCAGGATCTGTTTCTGATGAGGCCTCTCCTTGGTTTGTAGATGTCTGCATTCTTGCTGTGTCCTCACATGGTTTTTCCTCTGTGCACACGTAGAGATAACGTGAGCTCTGATGCCTCTTCCTCCTCTTATAAGGACACCAATCCTATTGGATTAGGACACTGATAAGGTTTGGCTGTGTCCACACCCAAATCTCATCTTTTATTCCCACCTGTTGTGGGAGGGACCCGGTAGGAGGTAACTGAATTATGTGAGCAAGTCTTTCTTGTGCTGTTCTTGTGATAGTGAATAAGTCTAATGAGATCTGACACGCTCTCTCTCTTTGCCTGCGGCCATCCATGTAAGATGTGACTTGCTCCTGCTTGCCTTCCTCCATGATTGTGAGGCCTCCCCAGCCATGTGGAACTGTAAGTCCTTTAAACCTCTTTTCTTCCTAGTCTCAGGTATGTCTTTATCAGCAGTGTGAAAATGGACTAACACAGTACCTTGGCATTGGTAGAGTGGGGCGCTGCTGAAAAGGTGCCCAAAAATGCGGAAATGACTTCAGAACTCAGTAATAGGCAGAGATTGGAACAGTCTGGAGGGCTTGGAAGAAGACAGAAAAATGTGGGAAAGTTTGGAACTTCCTAGAGACTTGGATGGCTTTATGCCGATAGCAATATGGACAATAAAGTCCAGGCTGAGGTGGTCTCAGATAGAAATGAGGAACTTGTTGGGAACTGGAGCAAAGGTAACTCTTGTTATGCTTTAGCAAGGAGACTGGTGGCATTTTGCCCCTGCCCTAGTGATTTGTGGAACTTTGAACTTGAGAGAGATGATTTAGGGTATCTGGTGGAAGAAATTTCTAAGCAGCAAAGCATTCAAGAGGTGACATGGGTGCTGTTAAAGGCATTCAGTTTTACAAGGGAGGCAGAGCATAAAAATTCGGAAAATTTGCAGCCTAACAATGCGATAGAAAAGAAAATCCCATTTACAGAGGAGAAATTCAAGCTGGCTGCAGACATTTGCATAAGCAACGAGGAGCCATATATTAATCATCAAGACAATGGGGAAAATGCCTCCAGGGCATGTCAGAGGTCTTCACAGCAGCCCCTCCCATCACAGGCCCAGAGGCCTACGAGGAAAAAGTGGTTTCATGGGCTGGTCCCAGGGTCCCCAAGCTGTGTGCAGCCTAGGGATTTGGTGCCCTGTGTCCCAGCCACTCCAGCTGTGGCTGAAAGGGGCCAATGTAGAGCTCAGGCTGTGGCTTCAGAGGGTGCAAGTCTCAAACCTTTGTGGCTTCCACACGGTGTTCAGCCTACAAGTGCACAAAAGTCAAGAATTGAGGTTTGGGAACCTCTGTCTAGATTTCAGAAGATGTATGGAAACGTGTGGATGCCCAGGCAGAAGTTTGCTACAGGGGCAGGGCCCTCATGGAGAACCTCTGCTAGGGCATGTGGAAGTGAGATATAGGGTGGGAGCCCCCACACAGAGTCCCTACTGTGGCACTGCCTAGTGGAACTGTGAGAAGAGGGTCACTGTCCTCCAGCCCCCAGAATGGTAGATCCACTGACAGCTTGCACCATATGCCTGAAAAAAGTCACAGACACTCAATGCCAGCCCATGAAGGCAGCCAGGAGGGAGGTTGTACCCTGCAAAGCCACAGGGGCAGAACTTCCCAAGACCATGGGAACC